TTTTTAATGGCATTCTTATTCACAAAACCTTAAGAGAATTTGGGTGAATTAGGAAACAGAGATAATTCTTTTGAAAACAAAATACAAACATGCTTAGTCATTTCATGATGAAGTGACACTGAGATTGATTGCATTCCTCTTCTGTTTTTGTTTAATTTACTTTAAAAATTTCATAGTTTTTGAAAAGGTCTTTAGCTTGTTTGAAATGTTTTGGTTTTAATATTTTTAAATTAACTGTTGCATTCTTAACTAATTTTAAATCATTTGAAATTTATTACTTATGAATTTCAATTTCTGGTCTTTGTGAAAATTTAGTTTTAAATTTCTTACTTTGTGTCTTTATATGCATATATATATATATACATGCAGTAACTTTTAATTAAATTTAAACAATTCTCTTGTGCCATTGCTGCAAGGAATGAAATTTGAATTTAACAAATATTCTCTATTCGTATAAAGCTAATATAAATTTAAAATTAGTTACGAAATTTTAATTGCAAAAATAACAATTAATTATTGCTGCGAACTAATTTACAGTGTCATTTAAATTCTAAGAGCATATGTAAATTAAGCGCACTTATCTAAAACCATGAAAAAATATATAATATTCCAAAAAATTAATCTAAAAAATTTATATACATAATGAGCAAAAAATTTCCCTAAATACAAATATAGGGACAATACAGAAGTCAAGCTAGAGCTTTTGCTGTCCAAGGCAGTCCCTGAATTTGCTGCCCCATTTATTCTTCACCAGCTTTGATGATCTGGAGGACTAACCCTTATAAAATGATATTTCATGCAAAAAATTATGTGCCTAAAAATGCACTCCCCCAAGGTGGAACATTCTCTAAACCTTCCTCTAGCTAAGCCACTGGGACCAGATAATTTTTACTAAATTTAAGAATGCTGAAATGTGAATAGTAGCTTGATTATAAAATTTACTGAGTAAAGTAAATTACATGACCTTTACATATATTTTTACCAATTCAAGTTTGAAAACTAGATAGCTAAAGTATTCAGACATCTAGTCATAAAAGTATCAAAGTACAAGGTTTGTCCGGTATGTACTAGGACTGACTTTTTCCTGTCAAAACATGGTGAAGAAGAGGGATGTTACTGCACTGGTTGTTGGGTGGGGGATCTTAGCTACCAGTGCACCAGTCACCAGTTGTTCTCCAAGCCTTCATAAAGTGTAGATCTAGTTTAAGATGAACCCCTTTCAAGGTGTCATGTCATCTCAACAATGAATTGTTTGTTAGAGAAGCATTACGCAGTGAAGTTTTGCATCAAACTGGGTAAAACAGCAAGTGAGACCCATGACATGATTAAGACTGCTTATGGGAGTGATGCCACATGCACAAATGAGTTTTGGATGGCATAAATTATTTCAGATGAGAAGAGAGCAAGTTGAAGATGAGCAACAGTCAGAACACTCTTCAATGACAAAAAGTGATGAAAACTTGGCGAAAGTGAAATCTTTTGAACAGTGACCACCTCAGAAATGAGTCACCCATACCCATCCAGCAATCGCTTCTTTATTCTGAGTAAAAATAGCCTCAAAAGATAATTACTGTGGTTTATATATTATGCTCATAATGCCTTAATGATCTCAAGCAAAATAATATTGTAAAAAATTCAATATACAAATTTTAAAAATTATTCAATTTTTTAATGCTGCAGTTAATTAATTTAAAATGTTAAAACCCCATGATAATAGGATATTATAAACTCTTAAAATATCAGCATTTTATCTAAAGCAATGGTTTCAAACTGGCAGACACTGAAGAAAAATTATGTAGCTGCGAAGACACTCCAGTTATGCATTTGAGATTCAAGATTTCAAGATTTTAGTTATTTGAAGTCTGAATTTACATTATTGTTATTATCATTAAAAACAAGCATGAATAATGCACCAAAAAGTCCATAACGGAGCTAATTAATTTGCAACAGGACATAAATCTTATTCAGATTTGAAGATACAGATCCGATTTAACATTTACTCTCATCTGTCAAAAAATAAATATGCCCAATTATAAATTTTTGCAGTAAGTATACATGCTTTGCTTCAGAATACATCTACAAATGAACAATATTTTTTCATAGTTGAAAATTAATAAGAAAAGGACCCATTGATCAACATTTATCTGCAATCCATGATCAACATAATTTACAGTAACTTTTCTCCACAACTGAAAGACTATCAAGTGTAATGTTATTGTAAGAAATATAGAATTTTATAATATTTACATACAAACACAAGTATTTTTATCCATGGTTCAAAGAACAAATTATTGAATAATAGAAATATGAAATGAATAAGAGAAAGACTATGGTGCTACTTAATCTGAAGTTTTTCTCAGTATATTTTCTGTGAAGCCATCGAAAGTTTTCACAATTTGTTTATTTTTTGTTTAGAGTAGAGGAAGTTATTTAATTATTAATAACATATTAGAATTTCTTGAAAGAAATATTAGTCTAAGAATTTAAATATTTAACTACCAATATATTTGAACTACCATGTGTAACGAATAAAAATGCTTTACAAGTACTAAAATTCAGATTTCAGGTAGAAAACAAACTTTGCATTATTATTATTACTGGGCACTTCTTTGTTATAGCCACCCCCAAGACTGAATTGCCAATCAACCGAGATTATCTCACCAAAATCTTACTGTATGTTCTTATACCTCGCTGAATGATCATATATATCAGTATTGGCTGCGTGTTCTTATACCTCGGCCTTGTAATCACCATATTAGCACCTGTTACATTTTTGCTCTCTCCGCATATTCTCATATTATTCATTTTTTATGAGGTTTTTTGAATTTGCACTGTTTATTAATCCTCTGAGTGACACAGTTTTTTGGATTTGTCATGAAGACCTGTATTTATGATGCACTTATTAGCTAAATTTATATAGTTACTTATTTTAGCCTCTATTTTCATTTTTTGGCTTTGTGTAGCGGCGATTTTTGGTACAAAAATCATCGTTATGCAAGCCAAAATAATAAGTCAAAGAATTGCACGAACTCGGTATCCATGTACCGCCTGCCCAAAATTGCCAAGTTTTGCCAAGGGGTATCCTAAAATAAACTTTTACCTAAAATTGTTTCGGCGCTTTTTGAAAGTCATTATTGCAAAATTATATTTTGGTTTCAAATTATGTCTGAAAGTAAAAAAAGAACTTTATTTAAAAAAAAAAAATATTACTTTGAAGATGAAAATACAAATTTTGAATTGTTTGTTAAATGAAGAAAAGGCATCACAAAAAATCTAAATTTAAATGAGGGAACACTGAGAATCATTACAAAAATAGGTACTTTTACGTTTTGCTGGAGCAAGCGATAAAGTCGCCAATAATGCTACAACTGATGCCAAATGGAATATCCTCGCTGGTAACCTTTTACACCTCATTTTCAAAACAAGCAGCAACCATTTCTCATCAGATTGATTGTTTCTTTCAATACTGGCATACAATTAGATACAATTTTAAACACATAGTTCAATTTTGTGCCCTAAGGCCATTCGCGGTAATTAAATCAATAAAGATGCAATCACACTGCTTACCCGAAGGAGAAAATATAGAAAAGTCAAGGGTCATCAATTCTAATGAGAATGCACTAGTGAAGTAAAGCACTGCGGTTTTACATAATTTCTGAGTAAGCTATTCGTACGAATTGAAATAATTCTTGCATTTAAATTTGTATTCCAAATTAAGATTTAACTTGAAATTAATGTAGATAAGTACTGAGAAAATTAGATTTTTGTAGCATAGTTTACTTGAGATGACATCTCTTGGGGTCACATGATACGAAACAGCGAATCAGGATGTTGAACTATGAAAGCATAGTAAATTCTTAAATTAATGTCTTTTTACAAATTTATTGTCTTTATTTATTGGCTTTTTACAAAATTTTAAACGATATTAAAATGTTTATGTCTTCAAAATAAAAAATTCTTAGAACTAACATTTGTTAGCGTTTTTTTATGTATATACTGTACGTTGTCACATTTGCACTGGCGAAACGGAAAAGTAACAAAAAATACTTTGTTGTTTTTTACAGTTACTGGAATGTATCCCTATATCTTGTATTCCTTGTTGCCCTCGTAAAACAGGTTTCACACAACACATGCTTTCTAGGGACCTATCTACCATGTTACAGGAGGAATACCTATAAATCTTTCTATTATTTTTCTCAAGAAATAAATAAAAATTAAGAAATGGTAGCAAATACTCATCGTACACACATGTATAAATGAAGAACTTGGAATGTTAGTGTTTACATTCATGAATTAGATTTTATGCCGAGTTTTATAGCATTTTACTACTTAATATAATGCCACATATAGTAATGTACAATCCATATTTAATCTTACGGTAAAGTATGATTTATAGCTATGCTGTTAAGAAAAGTACTTCTTCCAAAACATTTATTTCTTCGAAAAACTGTCATTGCGTTGCTTTAGCAAAGGAAGAATTCAGCAATCATTTGAATTTTTAAAAAATTAAAAACCAACCGTTATCTCTCTCAACTAAAGTACTTAAGATACATGTTTTAAAACACAACTGTTTCACACAAAACTTTCATTAGCGTCTTAAACTCGATTAACACAATTAAGAAATCAGTTAAAATTATTATGAAAACTTGTTGTCCTACTTAAAGGATTTTTTTTATTTAAATTAGTACCCTCAAAATCCGCATTAAAACCGTCTTAAAAATGTAAACAACTAACATGTTTCTTTTAAAAAATAAAATTCTGTTACTCACTTATGGAACAATCTAATAATAACTAAAAATATAAGAGAAATATTTATAGACATTAATGTAATTTTAAGGAAAATTCGCTAGAGAAATACACTAAAAATGAAATCATATAATCATCTTTATTTAACACGTGATGTGCCGAGGAGCTAGTAAATTCATCAAATGTTCAAACACTTTTCTAATTATAAGAAATAGTAATACTTTGATATAAAAATAAAAGTCTGAAAATACTACCTCTATCAAATTTTTTCCCTTCAGGATCGATGTCTTTTACGTCAAATATATCCTCGAATAACACACCCGCCATCCTTCAAGTTCGGAATGTTTCTTTTGTTTTGATGCCAACTTTGATATAATTGCTGTCAGCAAATATCTGTACGCGGGAAGAAGTTAGAAAAATATAAATATGAATTTCATATATTCTGTCAAAATAAAGACACTACATAGATTGATCAGAATTGAAAATAAATGATAGGGGATTCGGTGGGAGTTTAATATTATCTTATAATTTTCTACTTTAAAAATATGCTGACAATTACTAAATTTAAACTAAGCATTATTGGAAATGCACAGCACTATAAATACAAGTAATCATTTGGGTTGATATTAATGCATGGATCAGTATTTCCAATTTAAACTCCTTGCTAATTCTTTGTTCATTAATTTTTAAGACATGCTGAAGGTAAGGTTCGTAAAAACAACTATTCTGTGAACTTACTGAGAAAAACTTGTATCCTTTTGACAGTGATTCTTTTACGAGTATTATTTTACTCCTCAAAGCTTTTCTCATTAGTTAATTTCAAGAAACCTATTAACACAAAGAATTTTATTACGTTATCTTAGACATGCTTTTTTAACAGAAATGATTTTAGTTACTTACCATAAAAAGGAGAAAATTAAAAACTAAAAGTAATAAATTAAAATATGAGTTTTGAATAAGTCAAAGATCTTAGACTTAATTTAAGTCAGAGATCGTATTTTATTCTCGAGTGTCAAGATGTAGAAACATCTTTTTACTCGACTTCTGATAAGAATCAGGTGGGAGAAGAAAGAGTAGGGTGGAACCTCATTAGAATAACTCTAGCTCTTAGTTGTAGGTATGTAAGGATATATCAACTAAATTTAATAACAGAATAGAAAGAGTAGAGTCTAGATTCAAAAGAATCAACGGAAATTACCAAAGGAAAATTGTAAGAACTGTAGAGGGAGAATTCTGATACGCTGAAATAGGTCAGCATATTTAATTGAATTTTTAAAGCATGTTTCCAGAAAAATCCCGGAAGAAATGCCAGAAGAAATATCTTGGTTAAAAGATGAAAAGATTCAAGAACTACTTAGTAATATTATCGATCACATCGACAAAATTAAGAAAGCAAAATCCACCGTAGAAAAACTTGCAGCAGGCTCCAAAGCAGCTATGTTCCTGTCAAAAATCGCAGAAGAATAAACATGAACTTCTATGATACTTTCGCAGAAATGATGGAAAAATAAACTTATTTAAAAAAAAAAAAAAAAAAAAAAAAAAACTTCAAAAATTCCTTCATTTCAAACTTTTCTGTTTCAAGATGCTTCCATCCAAGGTTTCTAAAATATAAGAAAGTATTTTACTGCTCTTGCTTCCACCAGGGTCAGTACTCTGGTGGGTGACCACTCATGTGACTGGCCTCGACCAATCAACTTTCGACACGCAGAGAGGAGGGGTCTATACCAAGGAGGTTAAAATAGAATCTATTCTAACCTCCTTGGTCTATACAGAGGAGGAGAAGAAACGTCTTGCTTGACTTCGAGGCATCTGCCTTCACGATTACGACTCTCTCGCCTGCGGGCGGGATGCTAAGCGCAACTTTCATTTATTTAACTAAAAACGAGCGACCTTCGGCATCACCTGATCTATAGGTAAAAACTCATATGTAGTTGGGACCTAGAGTTGAAAGGACGATTTTTATTTTTATGTTTTAGAGCACTTTTCACGGGAACGCCGCCAGTAATGATGTTTCAGATATTGCATAAGTCTTTCAAATATAATCTGATATGAAATAGAATAACGATAAAGTGGCAAAATGCAAAATCCTGGAACATAAAATTTGCCGTACATCAAAATATTGTTCATTTACTGTTACGATCAAGGAGGTCTATTTCAACCTCCTTGGTTACGATCCAGTTTTTTAGCGCCCTCTATTGCCAACTAAAATTGTTAGTGTTTTCAATTGGTTTAATTTACGCTGTTCTTGTTTACATGATTAGAGTGACTTTACGGAAGCAAAAGAGAAATTTTACTGAAATGAGTGAATGTCGAAAGTCGTAATGTAATTGCTTTATCAGATTTTAATTGAATTTTGATTTTGGTTGGATAGTACGGTGCTCATTATGTCAGGGTGTTTTGATAATATTCATTTTAACCGCCCTGAATGGTTAGATCTAGGAGAAAAAAGAAATTCTATTGCTTCAATCATTGCTGGTTGTCTGGTAAGATTTGCATTACAAATTTAATTTAATTTAAATTTAAATTTTTTTGGGGGGACGGGGTTACTAAGTTTCATTTAAATGTTTTGTCTGTACTTTTTCTATAAGTATTAGGTATTCATGTGTTATTCTATGCAATGAGTTTTGCACTATGTGTTCATAATCCATTATAAAAAAAAAAAAAAAAAATTACAGAAATTATTTCAAATAGCTACGTTATTATTTTGCAGCACAATTTACTTCTTTCGCTGTAATTGATTGTTAGGAGATTTTAAGGCCAGCCAAAGATTTTTCGAAAAAGAATTTATAAAATTAGAATGAAATTATTTTAAAGATTTCCAGTTTAAGAAGATTGTCACCAAGTCTCGGATATATTGCATTGTAGATTCTCGCATTGTAGGGTAAAGTGCAAAATTGCCCATTTATTTGTTTGGCACTTTTTACAAGAGTAAGAAGAATTGGATTTTTGTCAATTTTCATCGACTTTTTAAGTGAAAATAAGTTGATGTGTACATGGATAAAGACAAGGATGTCCCTTGGATTATCGCCAAGTTGTTTAATTTATTGCCAAGGTGTTATTTTATTTATGGTAACATAACTAGTTGAATTTTACGGAAACGCTATTATGACATAATTGGTTGGGTGATTGCAGCGAATTTGACTGATGGGTAAAGATTTGTAAGGCTTGTTTGTGTGTTCGATAGGCTGTAGGTTGCTTATTTTGTGGTTTATACGATAAAATGGCTAAATGTGATAAGATTAATTTGAAGTTTTATATGATTTGGAACGAAAGAGGAGAAAAAGCATTAATTGTCTGGTGTTTAAATGAAGATTTACTTAGTAGCTATTATAAGTGTCCTGTTTGTACTGTAATATTTTATTATTTAGCAAATAACTGTATTTATCATTGGAGTGGCAATGCCATTTTTGTATCATGTAACCATTGCTCAACAACATAAGAAATTGTTTAAAAATTGTTATTCTGAAAGTTTTACCAGCTACTAGATGTATGAAAAAAGACTGTATTCAAATTATCTATCACCTCAAACTAAAAATAAAATTTATGCTTTTCTAAGATCATATGTTATTTTGTTAAATAGTGCAAAATATGTTACAGTTTTAAAATTGGAGGTTCCACCGAGATCCTGGAAATTAGGAGTGCAATTATCAGTTTCGATGATGCTGCTCTCCTAATCCCAGAAATTTGCTGAAATTTTGAGAACAAGTTTCCTAGTACAAACTGCCGAGTTTGTTTATTTCAAGGAGAAATGGACGTCAGAAGTCTGCCGTTTTAAAGCCAAATTTTGTAGCGTATCATTCAAAGGTTATCTTCTGTGTTTCTATAACTTGTGTCCAAGCAAAAAATTGTCAGATGAGGACACTACTGATCTCCGAAGATAAAATTAACTTTTGGTTTTCTTTAAAAGTGTTCATTGAATTTTATATTTTATTTTCGGCATTATATTTAAATAGTGTAAGTTTTTGTGTAAATTAACTGGTACAGTACAAAGGTTTTAATCCATATTTATCGGGACTTCGGCGATTCCGGATTAGAGTTTTTTCCAGATTATAGATCATCAATTTAAATCTGGTAAGAAAACACTTTTGGTGTCAGAAGTGGGATTAAATCCCAGTGACAAGTGATGGAGGAGCAGTTACGACAATTTATAGCAGCCTTTTGTGCATTTAAAGAAGAAATGAAAGCTCTTAAAAAACAGATGAACACGGGCCCAGAAGAGATGTAAGCTGGTCAAGAATGAGTTAAAGAAGTGATAAAAGCTAGCCAAGATTCCGTTAAATTACAGATTCCTTTAATTATGGATAAAAGCAGGTCAAGAGGAAATGAAAAGAGAAATTACCTGTGTAATAGAAAACAAATTTGAGGCTATGGAAGGCAGAATAGATGTTGTTGAAAGAGTTGGACACATTGAATAAAGAGTTTCTTCTGTGAAAGAACAAATAGAAGGAAGAGTTTCTGCCATCCAACAACAAAACGAATGGCATATTGATGACAGGGTTTCTGCAGTTGTGAAAGAAGTTGATAGGACTGTTCTAGAACTTTTGGGGTCTGATTAATAGCTAGACACCCAATTTAGAAAAACAAATTCTTTAATTAATCAAAATACATACATGGCAATAAATAACAGGAATCTCAGCGATGCATAAGGCACGTACATGAACTTGTAAAAACAAGAAGGGGAAAAGTTTTATTTTACAGTCGCGCAGAGATGATATTCTCATCGCTCATGCGCGAAGAGGAGAACTCAAAGCGCCGAACAAAATGTGGGGGAGAAGGAAGCCCCACACCATCTCCCTTCCTGGAAAAATAAAATCCTCTAAAAATCTGAAAAAGAAAGGGAAAAATTAGTCTTCCACAAATCGTTTGGGGAAGTGGACATGATGTCCTGAACGAATTTGATAATTTGCTTTCACAGGATCACTTTTTTCAGGTGGCTGTTCGTTTACTGGATAGGTTGTTTGCCGCAATGAGGCCTTATTCACATCAGTTAAACTAGGAGGTTTAGCTACATCATCTGGGACTAAATAAGCAGGTTTTACTCTGTTGATAGACACAGTGATATCATGTCCTTGTTTAGGTATGGTAAAAGTTTTATCACCACGTCAAAGTATTTTGTACGGACCCATGTAAGGTATATGCAAGGAGGGTTTTACCATGTCTACACATAGAAAAACATGAGAACATTTATCTAAGTGTTTATATACAAGGATCTGTTTTTTACAGTGATTGGTAGTACCAGTTGGGCGAAGATGTGCTAGATTATCATTCAATTTTTTCAGGAAGTCATTCCTCGGAATGTTGCTGTCAGGAGGCATAAAGAATTGTCCCGGAAGACGCAAAGTTTGGCCATACACCATTTCAGCTGGAGAGCACTTAAGTTCCTCTTTGAAAGCAGTCCGAAGTCCCAAAAGAACTGAAGGTAATGCGATAGTCCAGTGTACAGATATGTGACACATTATGGATTATTGGAGGGATCTGTGCCACCTTTCAATAATATTGTTGGCTTGTGGGTGATACGCAGTGGTGTGAGAAAGGCGAATACCAAAGTTCTTGGCTAGTTCTCGAAAGAGTTCACTGCGAAGTTGACTACCATGATTAGTGGTGGTCTGAGCAGGCACACCGAATCTTGAGATTCAGCCAGCATAAAGAGCAGTGGCGACGGTCTCTGCCCGTGTATCTTTCAATAGATACGCTTCAGGCCAGCGAGTATACCTGTCGATGCAGGTCAGACAGTAAGACATTCCTTGAGATGATGAAAGAGGTCCAATCAAATCTATATTGATATGAGAAAAATGTTCATCTGGAACTATAAAAGTAGTTAAAGGAGAATGTACATGACGAGACACTTTAGCCTTTTGACATTGTAGGCAAGTTTTAGCGAAGTTCGTGACATCCTTCTTCATTCCGGGCCAGACAAATCGGTCACTAATTAACTTCAGCGTTGCTTTAGGTCCAGGATGGGAAAGATTATGCAGAGCTGAAAAGACAAGTTTTCTATGACTGTCTGGAACAAAAGGACGGATTTTACCATGTGAAATGTTGCAGTACAGTTCTGTATAACTCTCAGGCATTATTAACTTCTTTAATTGCAGAACTGGATTTTCTTTGTCTAAAAAGAATTAGAGTACAGTGTTGCTCTGTTGTGCTTTCAACATAGATTCATAGTTAATAGGAATGACGTTAGCAACCATTTCGATGCGAGAAAGAGCATCGGCTGATCCATTTTCTGCACCATTCACATGTTGAATATCAGTAGTGAACTGGTCGATGAAATTAAGTTGATTAATTTGTCGAGGTGAGAGCTTGTCGTACTTTTGGAAAAATGCTTTTGTGAGTGGCTTATGATCTGTAAATACTTGAAAGTTCGTACCTTCAAGCAGATATCTGAAGTATTTGATAGCAGCAAATATTGCCAGCAGCTCTTGGTCATACGTACTGTATTTTTGTTCCGTATCGCTCAATTTTCTGGAGAAAAATCCTAATGATTCCCATGTTTGAGCATTGAGTTGTTGGACGCAAGTGCCTATGGCTTTGTCAGATGCGTTGCACATGAGAGCAATTTTCTTTTTTGGGTCTGGGTGGACTAAGTTTGTAGCCTGTGTCAGAAGCTGTTTACATGACCCAAAGGCTGTTTCAGTGTCTATTGACCAATGTAAAGGTGTTTTGTCATTTTTCTTACAATGTCCGAGCATACCATTTAAAGGAAGTTAAACTTCAGCACCATGATTTAAAAATCTCTTATAAAAATTAAGAATTCCCAAAAAACGTCCGAGTTCCTTGACAGTTTTGGGTTTAGGAAAATCTTGGATAACTTTCATTTTTCCTGTAAAGGAATGATTCCATTTTTGTTGATAATGTGACCTAAAAATTTTACGCGTTCTGCAGCAAATGTGCATTTAGGAAGGTTGACAGTCAAATTATGACTTTTTAATCTCTTAAAAACTTCTTCGATGTGAAGTATATGTTCATCGAGGGATGATGAAGCAATCAAAATATCATCTATATAGACGAAACAGAAATTTAAATCTGATAGAATTTGATCGAGTAATCTTTGTATGGTTTGCACAGCATTACATAAACCATATGTCATGTAGCTGAACTCAAATAATCCGAAAGGAGTAACTATTGCCGTTTTGGGTATGTCCTCTTTATTCATGGGTACCTGGTGGTATGCCTTCTTGAGGTCTAATGTTGAAAAAACAGTTTTATTGCTCAAATTAGATATAAAATCATGTAGATGTCTAATTGGATAATTATCTGGAACAGTGATTGAATTTAATTTATGGTAGTCCCCACAAGGCCGCCAAGACCCATCTGATTTTTCTACCATGTGGAGAGGACTACTCCAGGAGCTTTTAGAAGGTGTAACAACTTTAAATATTATTAAAAATCTTGTAGTTTAAATAATTTAATTAGATGAACATTAAGCTATTTGTGAATGGCAGTATTTGAAACCAGACTCGAGTGCCACTTGCGACTCTCG